GGAGCACCTCTCTGTTTCTTTGAGAGGTGCCCTCTTTTTTTTGAGACAGGTCTCACTATGTGGTCCAGGCTGCCCTTAAACTCACTATGTAGCCCAGGCTGGCCTTGAACTCTCAGTGATCCACCTGCCTCAGCCTCCGGAGTGCCTGGAGAACGGGCCAGTGCCCCCACACCTGGCTTCCTGTTTATCTGTCTTGACCTCTTCTATCCCTGCCTCTCTGCGCTGCTTCAGGCGATGTCCCATTCCCCAAGGACCTGACCTCAGACAGCCTGGCCTCTGGGTTCCTCAGAGAGACCCGGGGACCCGCTGGGTGTCCACCCCCTGGAGTCGTGTCGGGAGTCAAGATCGGGGTGCAGGTGGGTGACACCGGGCTGGTTTCCCTTGCAACTCTGTGTCCCCGGGGTCCCCAAATACAGGACACTCAGCAGGAGCCACTGCGTGCTCCCCATGCCCAGAGAACGGGGGGACAGAAGGTGCAAGGGCCAGAGAGGCAATTCCTGAGCACCCCATTTCCCCAGCGGGCGCTCCTGCAAATTCCTTTGCTGCTGTAAACGTCCTCCGCTTCCCTGCTTTCCGCAGAGACGCAGATGTGTGCAGGGGGACGTCTATGCAGGTGTGGGCGAAGGTGAAGCCCTCCCGTCTGATTAGCAGCACAGTCCCAGCACCCTGACCTCGTCCTCAGATGTCCTTGGCCCCAGAAGTCCTCCTGCTTGGGGTCTGTGCCCAGAGGACGTGGATGGTGCTCCAGGCGCCCTGGCAGCCCCGGTGAGCATGTGTGAGCCATGGCTTCCTTAAGTGGCCGCTGGTGCTGGGACAGCAGAGCCCGAGACGAGGCGAGGCCTGGGACCTCCGCTCCTGGACCAGGGATTCACCGCCTGCCAAAGGCTCTCGTCCAAGCTGGGCCTCCATTGGTTCCTTTTCTTAATTATTCATTTATTTATTTTTTGCAGTACAGGGGAATGAACCCAGGGCCTTTGCACGGAGATACAACCCTTTTTTAATTTGTTTTTTTCAGGGGGAGGGTTTAGGCTCTCGCTAAGCTGCTAAGTTGCCCAGGCTGGGTGGGAACTTGTGATCCTCCTGCCTCAGCCTCCCAGTGTGCTAGGATAACCGGCCTGCACCACCACACCTCAGTTTCTTAGCTATGAAATGAAGTGTGATGCCTGAACATCTATTCCTGATGCCTCCGTCCGTGGCTGCGCCAACAAAACCAGAATGCTTTATCTGTCTCTTCTGGAACCCAGGAGCGGCTCGAGGTCAGGGCCAAACGCTTTTCCTCCTGTGTCCCCAGCACCCTGCTCAGGCCGGCACCTCAGGGTGCTCAGCACACAGCTTTCCAACTGGACGTTCTGGGTCCGGACTCCCCAGCTGGGTTGTGTGAAAGGGAGCAGCATGCGCTGATCCAGCTCAGTCTCCACACTGGGCCCTGGGTGTACCCAGGGAACAGAGGAGGAGGAGGTGGCCTGGACACGGTCATGGATGGAGGACGAGGATGGAGGACCGGGCTGCGGGGGGAGCATGGAGCTAAAGCCTCCTCCAGGCCACACAGTGATGGTCTGTCCGAGCGAGCGCAAGTGATTTTGTCCTTGGAAATCCCAGGAAGGAAAAAAACTATTTAGCTTTCAAGAATGTCTGGTGATTAGCAAGACTCCATGGAAGGGCAACACCTTCACCAGTGGGACGCTCAAGCCTTCAAAGGCTGACCTCACCAAGTGTGGTGGTGCACACATGTGAGCCCAGCACTCAGGAGGCTGAGGCAGGAGGATCAGTGCAAGTTCAAGGGCAGCCTGGGCTACAGAGCGAGTTCAGGACCAGTCTGGACTACATCTCAAAAAACCCAACCAAACAAAGCAAGCTGACCTTGGTCAGGGAAGACATATGGCCATGGGGCTCCCCTCAATACCTTCCCCATAGGGACAGCTTAAAGGAGGAGAGGGTTATGGGCTTCATGGTTTCAGAGGGTTCAGTCCATGGTCAGCTGTTCCAAGGCAGGAACATACTGGCAGAAGGGCCCGGCAGAGGAGAGCGCTCACCTCATGCCAGTCAGAAAGCAGAGAGAAGGGAGGAGCTGGGGATAAGAACGCACCCTTCCACGTCACACCCCACTGACTTACCTCTTCTGACCTGACCCCACCCCTGAACACAAGACTCTCAAGGGACATTTTAGATCTAAGCCATAACTACAAGTGAGAGCTCTCTGTACCCCGAGTCCACCATGACTAGCAGGGATGCCTCAGGAAAAATGCTTTACACTGTGGGCCTCAGTGGCACCTGATAGCCTTCCTGGCCACGTCCTTCTTCTCCCTCCTCTCAAGAGGGGACACAGATGGCCCTACTCAGTGGTCTCTTTGCACTTCTGCATGTCAGAGTCACTTTCTCAGTACCTGGCCACATGACCCTCCAGAAGACACATCACTGAAGGCAGGGCAGGGACTTCTCCCAATCCTGGTTTCAAAGCTCTGCTTCCTATTAGCCTGCCTTGTGCACCCCTGCTTTATCTGAGGGGCACCCTGGGCTATCAGTCCCTTGCTCACCAAGCAACGAGTGGGCCTGTTCCCTGGCTGAAGGAATCCTCCAGGGTTCTAGGTTTTCTCCTCCATCTAGAACCATCTAGGACCATCTAGGACCATCCAGAATAAACGTTGACACCATGATGGCCAGCAGAGTGTGACTCCTGTCTCACATGTGTGCTCTGCACATCCCCAAAGTCTCTTTCCTGTTATCCTGTGTCACAGTGAATGAATCAAAGTCCGGAGAGTCACATGGGGAGACAGAGGCCCCAGGAAGGCTGAAATCAGGGCTCCCAGCGTCCTGCCCAGTCTTCATCCCCTGGGCCACGACTGTCCCTCGACCACAAGCCAGGTCCCGTCTCCACAGCAGCTCTCAACACTAGCACACTTTTCTGCACAGCAAGTTAAATGAGGACACCGACGCCTTTCTGCTTCCCACAGAGGTTCCCAGGATCTGCGAGAGCAACATGTGTGACAGTTCTCTGAAAGCACGGCTGCTGAGGCAGGAGATTCAATTACAGCCACGCCTCCACCGAGTTACATGGCCACTGCAGCCTTCTCTTTTACCCACAGAAGAGAAAGAACCAGGCCCTTCCTGGGAGAAGCTGCCCCCACCTTGAACATGAGGAAATCCTTTCTCCTACAGACTTGTTTGGAAGCTAAACAGGGCTGAATTGTTTGGAAGAAGCTCTGCTTCCTCCTTCCTATCCCTCCCCCAGCAGGGAGGCAGCAGGCACTGGTTTCACTTTATAAATGGAAACGGAATCACTGCCTCCCGGGCTGCAGCATGACTGGAAGTGACAGTATGCTGGGGTCAAGACCCCACCACTTCCTCTCTGGACAGGAAGTGCGGTCCCTGAATGGTTCTCCACGGCCTCTGGTGATGAAAGGCCTGCTCTGGCCCTGGGCTGCTGGAGCTTTCTGCTGTTTTCCAATCTCGCTTTAAGGGAGAGAGTGGAAAAGGAAAAACTCGGATGTGCCTCTCTAAACAGGGACTCAGCTCAGGAAGGAGGGCAGGGCGTGCAGCTTGATACAGGGGCTGTGGTCGGTAGGAGATTGTTTAGACTTTGTTATAAACACAGGCGTAGCGTTAAGGGGATTCACGTCCTCTGGGCTCTGCTCACACAGCTGGCTGCTTCATGCTGTGAAGACTGGGAAGCCTTGGACCTCTGGAAGCCATGAGAGGTGCCCTGGGCCTGTGGAGACCCCAGGAACAAGGACTGGTCATTTCCCAGCTTCCCCAGGCCCCAGGCTTGACAAGAGAGGGCTTAGCAGGAGTGGACACCTGCACTGCCCGCCCTCGGGGGGATGGAGGCAAGGGGGTGAGTTGCCCTGAGTTGGGGCCCGACTGGGCTCCACAGTGAGTCCAAGGCCAACCTGGACTACAAAGTGAGACTCTATCTCAAGACACCAAAAAGTAAAGGAGATGAGGCCACAGGCTTGGTCACCGGTGCTATGTGGGGGGAAGGGGCCTTCAGCATGAGTCTGACTTGGCCTTATAGCTTATTCTAGGAGGCCACAGTTTCTAGATGCAGCAGCAGATGACTCAATTCCTCCCCTGGCCAGGAGCAGCAGCAGACCCCAGCCACCACCTGAACCCAGACAGAAAGGGGCAGTGCAGATGGAACCAGGGTCCTGCACCTCCACACCCCTGGAGAAGAAAGAATCACTAAGCACTCGAGGGATCACTGCTGCAGGAAATGCCTGGCGGAAATGCTTTGTTTGGATGAGGATGAGCTACTGCTCCTGAGGATGCGCTCTGAGGTGGCCCTGTCCCTGATCTGGGCTTCGGAGGCCTTCAGCCACCCGAGTCGCAGGAGCTCAGCGTCCGGGCATCACAGAAGCACACTGGGGGCCCTGCAGGCTGATGTCTGAAGGGGCCCTTGGGAGCCAGCATGAGCCCCTTCAAGAAGAGGCAAGAGCTTTTCAATTTGGCACTGATTCCTGAGGCCCAGGTGAGCTCAGCTCCTGTACCTCCCGTGTCCCAAGTTGCCACCTGAGTTGACATTGGTAACCACAACCCAGGAGCAGATGAGTCAGCGCCAGCCCTTTGTTTAGGGGCTGGGTTTAGGCTCTTCCCAACCAGCTGGACCTTCCTTTCCAGGCACAGGAAGGCCCTGCCCCGGGCCAGAAGAGGAAGCAGATTCAGCCATGCAGCGCCACCCCTGCCCCAGGGAAGCTGAGGGAAGCCGAGAGACCAGAGGCCCTGCCAGGCTTCTCCACCACAGGTCCCTGGAGCCCAGGTTCCGGAGCCTCCAGGGTTTCCTCCCTAGGGAATGTGCCACTGTTTAGCAGCACAACATCCTGGGGGAGTACTGGCGCACAACTGTAATCTTGCATGTGCTCTGGGAGGCTGAGGCAGGAAGGCTGCAAGTTCAAGCCTAGCCTAGGCTATTTAGCAAGTCCCTGTCTCAAAAGTTTGTTTTTCTTTTAAAGAGCTAGAGATGCAGCTCAGTGAGAAGGGCCTGGATTCAATTCCCAATGGTGGAGGAGGAGGAAGAGGAAGACGATAAAGGAGAGGGGTCAAAGAAGAGGAAGTAGAGGCAGCCTCGCCTCTCAGGAAAGCCTTTAGTGTGATAGTGAGGACCAGGGTTAGAACAAGTTCCGGCTCCAGACTTAGAACTTCCAGTTCCAAGGCTAATGGTCAAGGGGCTCCCAGCGTGCTCTCTGCAGCACAGCCGGGGTTTGGGATCAAGCATCTGAAAGGATCAACTTCACAACCAGAACTCACTTTGCTCAGGTCCTGAGCGTCTTAAATGGCCTTGAGGCAACGGGCAAGAGGCACTGTTCCCACAGGCAGGTCTGCTCTGTGGGCTGAAGCCTTCGGGGGCTGCTGTCTGAGGGTTCCTGCAGCAGAGTAGGGGACACCTGACACCCACGTCCCTAAGAAAAGACCTCACCCGTCACTCCCAGACGGCTGTTGCCCCCTGCTTTGGGGATGTCGTAGAGGGTTCCCTGCGGTTCTGCAGGTGTGCTGTGGGTGACTGACGTCAGTCAGTTTGGGAGATGTCAGGGCCTCCGGGACACGAGGGGCCCAGGTGCTGTCCTGGCTTGTGGCTGGTCGGCTTCTCTCCCTGGGCACCGGTAACCCTGGGGCCGAGGGGACAGCCCTCCAGGCTCACCAGGCCCAGAGTGGAACATCAGAAGGAAAACACAGGCAGTCGATGGTAGATGGGCTGGCGAGCACCATGGGGCAGTGTGTGATGGGTCCTGCAAAGACAAGCGGACCCTGCCTGTAACAGCAGACAGTGTGGTCCCCTCAAGCCTGGTGCTCGCAGAGGCTGAGCCTTTGGCAGCTGATTGGACAATGCGGGCTTAGAGCAGACTGCTGTTAGGAGGCGGGGCCTGGTGGGAGGGGCGGCCCCAGGGCGTGGCCTGGAAGGGTTCGTCTCCCTCCTGGCTCCTCCCTTCTCCCCACTTCCTGTACCCCGTGCTGTGAGCTGCTCTCTTCTGCAAGGCGCCTCTCCCATGCCACCCAGCCTTGGAACAGCAGACCATGGACTGAACCCTGGGCTACAATAAACGTCTTCTCCTTCAAGTTTCGGGTTAGGTCTTGCGTCCCAGTGATGAGAACGTGGCTGAGACAGACAGGGCTGGCTTTCCAGGTCTTGGCATTTCAGGAGTCCGCGGCAGTTCTGGCAGTTGAGTAGATGACAATCCCTTGTTGCAAGTGGTTCAGGAGAGCGCATGATCTGACCTGCCCAGGAAGCACGGAGCTGGACGTCATAGCAGCCCCAGGAATGTCCCTGGGGTCCCTTCTTGGTGCATCTGCCAGCTCTGTGGGGAGAAAAAGGAACCGAGCAGTACAGGGATGAGGATGGACCATGATCTCCTCTCGGGGCTGCTGGGAGGGGAGAAAGACATCTGCTTCCCATTGGCTACACAGACTGCTACACGGATGGCTGAATAAGCATCTGTTTAACGGAATGAAGCTCATTAAAAAGCAATGAATGCTGCAGGGACTGCATTTATCAAGTTAGTGCCATCCCGGGCTGCTTCTTACTTTATAGCTCCACAGCCTCTCGGGCCAGGAAGCACACGAGTGGGTCAGTCAACATGCATTCTGGGCCAGGCTTGGTCCCCAGAGCTGCAGAGAAAAGGGCAGTGGCGCACACCTGTGATCTCAGCACTTGGGAGGCGGAGGCAGGAGGATCGTTACAAGTATGAGGCCAGGCTGGACCTCAACATAGTAAGATTTCTGTCTCAAAACACAAAAAACAAACAAAAGAAGACACAGTGGTGGTGACAGAGAGCTGAGGCGCACAGTACAATATCCAGCACAATCCACACAAACACGGGCTAGGAAGAGAGTGCACAGAGAGGGAAAGGACGCGCCCGCAGGACAGTGACACTCTGGGAAGGGCTTCTACAGGAGGAGACATCCGCGCTGGTGTCCAGGGACAAGTTCACCGGATGGGTAAGAAAGTTCCCACGGGGAGTGCATGGGAATACCCTGGGCAGAAGCCCAGAGTGAGTGGGATAGATGTCACTGAGATTCTCTGACTGCTCTCAGCTGTAATCAAAAGACTCAATGGAAGGTAGCTCAGTTAGAATACAGAACTAAAAATAAAATACGGAACTATGTTTATCTCCTGCAGTAAGTCTGGAGGTAGGACTGCGCCAGAGTAGTCGATCCAGCTGTTCAATGACATCATCATGGACCCAGGTCCCTTCTTCTGTCTTTCTGTCCTGCCATCCTCAATGAGAGACTTTTAGCCTCAGGGTTGTGCCCGCAGTCACAAGATGGCTGCAATGGATCTGAATATCACAGATTCATACAACAGATTCGAATGGCCAGAAAGAAACCTGTTCCTTCCTTGTCCTTTGTAAAAAGCATAAGGAAGTAAAAATATTCTTTCGGAAAACCTTTCCCAGAAGTCCTGGGTTCCCATAAGTGTCCCAGATGAGTCTCATTAGCCCCAGATGTGACACCGCCCCTGGAGGTGAGCAGGGCCAAGCGAGCTCACACACAGACGAGTCTGGCAAACCAAGGATTATTCACGCACAAGCAGAATGCAGGGTAACATCAGTGCCCCCTGCAACATGGTTCCAGTAATGCCACTGGTCCCGGCCCTAGGTAAGTGACAGTGGCACTTGGATAGTATGAGGTGTGATTGACAAACACCATGACTGTTTAAATACAAAAAAATTATTTTTTATTTTTAAATTTTATTTATTTATTTGGGTTTTTTTCCTTTTTGAGACAAGGTCTCACTATGTAGTCCAGGCTGCCCTTGAACTCACTGCAATCCCCCTGCCTCAGCATCATGAGTGTTGGAATTACAGGTGTGCATCACCATGCCTGGCTTAAATACACACACAAAAAAGGTATCGCTGGACTACTACTCACCAATAAGAAGGCTAAACTTGAGTCATTGTAGGAAGAATGGATGCACCCTGAGGCCACAACCCTAAATGAAATAAGTCAGACAGAGACAGTTAAATATTGCATGGCTTCTCTCCTTTTTTTTTTCTTGGTACCGGGGATCCAACTCTGGACCTTGCACTTGGCAAGGCAGGTGCAGCACCCCTGAGCTAAATCCCCAGCCTGCATGGCTTCTCTTAATTGAGAGACCTAAGTATAAATAATATAAAGAGCAAAATAAAAGAAAGATGGGAGGAATCAGGGAAGTAAACTGTGAAGCAGAGAAGAAGACACAAGAAAGGGAGGGGAAACGGGGAGCAATTTCAAAGATGAAACAGGTGTGTACCCAGCCTCAGATAAATGGAATTCTTACTACAAACACATACTAATGAAATAGTTTATGTTACAGTAAAGGACACACTGCCACGAATCCCCTCAGAATCCTCCCCTCACTCTGACCACACTCATCCCATCCTCCTCGCCACTTCCTGCTGCAGCCCTGGAGCCCTCTCTCCTGAGGGCCTTTAGCTGCGCTGTCCTGGCTGCCTTGATGTCCTGAGTGGATCCAAAATCTGTACCTTTCATGGTCACTGTGACTTCGGGGAAGAGCCGGAAGTCACACAGTGCCAGATCAGGTGACTAAGGTGGATGAGGACATAACAGCGTCATGTTTACAAGCTGCCTTTCCATTGGATGGTGCTCGGCAGCAGCAGTCACCGTATTTCTGATCATATCATAAAGACACAGTTACTTTAAGTGTTTCATAGACCCGGCCACTCTTACTTCAGAAACCACCCCTTTCCCAAGGCTGCAACCCCAGGCCTTGGCTGTCAGCATCTGCAGCCGGTGAGCTCAGGCTCTGGGGCACCAGGGCAGGGCCAGCCAGAGGGATCAGCTTGCAAAGTCTCTGCAGCTCCATGGCCACCACAACTTTGAAAACCAACAGTCACTGTTTTGAGGTGGAGCAACAGCAGCCAGGGACGAGCAGTGCTGAGAGATCTCACGCTCGGCCCCGAAGACATTGCTGGCAGCCCCAGCCAGGCACAGGCCCCGAGCCCTTGGCTCCAGATGCAGTGCTAGGTTCAGGCTGCCAGGGATGACAGTCTAAGGACACTGCCCTGCCCGGGTGATGGCAGCACAGCCAATTCACAGCCTCACGGAGGTGCCCAGGCAGGGACCGCGTGGCTGCCACCTCCCCAGCTTCAGGCATTTGCTAAGCAACTAGCCTGGCGCTGAGTCTGAGGGTCTCTGCAGTTGCCATGGAAGCAGCTTTGGAAACCTCTCCTTCAGAGGATTGGCTCTCTCGGTGGAGCCGGGCCCAGAGCACCTGGTCTTCCTGCCCTGGGCGCCACTGCTTGGATGGTGGTGGGCGAAGTAGGGCAGAGGCTGCAGCCCCCTCTCAAGGCAGCCACACAAGTTCCTGCCACTGTCACGCCTGCCACAGCCAGGCCATCCTCCATCCTCGCCACGTGTGTTCAAAGAACGCTGTCCCTCCCTGCCAGGTTGCACAGTGGTGCGCCTCCCGGAATCCCGTTCCTCTTGCTAGGGTGATGCTCATGGGTCACACCATCGCAGCCTGTGTCTCCTCCCTCCGTGTCAGCATCAGTCCCTTTCTGCACCAGAGCGGCTCAGAGGACCACAGGCCCAGGATAGGGTGTGACGTTCCAGATAGCAGGAGGAGCGGGAGGACTGTGTCTGGTGCTTCATGGAGGGTGACCTTGGGTCCACGTCTGGTCTCGCCCCTTCCTCTCTGGCTCTGTTCCCCTGCTGTGCTTCCTGGCCTCCATGAACTGAGCAGCCTTGCTCCCCTACTCCATTCCGCCATGATGTTCCTGCCTTGCAGCAGCCGACCATGAACTGAGGGCCCTGAAACCCTGAGGCAGATAAACCTCTCCTCCTTTAAGCTGTGGGTGTTGCTGCTGTGTCCCAGCTAAGGGACACGATGGGAAGTGGAGAGGGATACAGGGTTCTCTGCCCTGGTGGGAAAGGCTCCATGCCGCAGGCTCTGGGATCCCGAGGAGCCTGGTTGTTATCCAGGCCCCATGAGCTCGGGACCCCTGTGCTGTCTGCATGCAAGAGTCTGTGTGGCAGGTGACTCGGGATATCAGGCTGTCATCAGGCAGGGCTGGCTTCTCCCACGCTGCGGGAGGGCAGAGTGTACTTGCGAGCGTCCACAGCTGTGTGTGGAGCACAGGGATGGCCTGGGGCCATCGACGTCAGATAATACGATGGCTGTCGCCTTTGTGGTCACAACAGTGCCGCGTGCCTCGGCTGCTCGGAGGCAGACTGCTTGCACGGGGTGGATTTTTGTCAGACAAGAAAGGGCCTAGTGTGACCACATGTGAATGCAGAATCACACGCTAAATGAGGAGTAAAGAGCAGAGAGACAGTGCTGGGGGACACTGGTCTCCCCGGGGCTGGGTGGTGGGAGTCCCCTCCCAGCACCCCAAGGCTGGGTCCCAGCACCAGCCAGACCGCCTCTGCCTTGGCCACAGAGGCGCCACTAATGACAACTCTGTCGCTTGCTGGCTGTTTGTGATCTTAACCCAAAGCACCTGCTAGGATCTATTTTTTCTTTGCAAAATAAGAATCCAAAGTATCTCATGAGAGAAACAAAACATGCTCCTTAACAAAAATACCTGAATGATTGCAAAGCAGCTCAAGTAAAGGAACAAAGGGGTACTTGCACTTGATGTCTAGAGAGCCAGAGTTGATTGTTAACATTTCGCTTCGAGTTGGAGACTGAAAACTTGGAGAGGAAAGCTACAATGAATATAGCCTTCAAAGCACGCTTCATTTCTAAAGGAATGGGGCAGCCTCCCCTCTCAGATCCTAAGCAACTCAGTTAAATATTTGAAAATATATTTTTAAGACCCAGCCTCACTTTCCAAGAACCTCATACACCTTCAGAGCCAGAAAAGCCTTAAAGGACCAAGGCCACAATTCAGCTCCTTCTATGTCTCTTCTGGGCTGAAGAAAGCAAGAACTTTGAAATGGGACCAGCCAGGGTTCAAATCTCAGCTTCATCAACTGCTCCTAAATCCTGTAAACTGATGACAGTGGGTGTGGCGGTGCACACCTGTAACCCCACATTCTGGGAGGCTGAGGCAGGAGATCGCAAGTTCGAACCCAGTCTGGGCAACTTAGCCAGACCCTATTTTAAAATCTAATATTAAAAATTTAGAAAGGGTTTGGGTAGGGCTCAGTGTCGAGATCCTGAGTTCAGTCTCCAATATATATAAAAAGCCAGTGATCTCACCTTGCAGAGTTAAGGATTCATTTCCGCAGTCTTGGCCGGGATTCAGAACGCGCCTGGCTGTTTCCCTTGGCGACTGCGGGTGACGCAGAGAGATATTCCCTGTGTTCTCGGGGACCGGATCTGGTGAGATAGGCAAGTAGCAATCCATTCTGCGAGAGTACAGTGTGATCATGCGTAAACGTACGTACACACGCACGCACGCACGCCCCAGTCCCGCCTGAGGCCAGCTGGACTGACTTGCGCACCACACCTCCTTCTCCCGCGAGAGTCAGGCTCTGAGTCTTTCCCGACGCTGATAGCTCATCTGGGCGCCGGGTCTCAGGACCTCATCTCCACCCCATCCATAAAGACCTTCACCTCCCAGTTCCCCCGTCGCTCCAGGGAGGACCCCTGCCCTAGTCCCGTCCCTGGAAGTCGAGTCCCCAGCCTCGCCAAAGCCCTCACCCACTGGGGCCAGCCCCTGAATTTTTGCCTAGGAGAGGAAAGGGACATGGCGGTGGCGGAGGCATCGCCGAAAGACGTGTCGGGAAGCATCTCTATGATCGACTTATTTGACAGGGTGGGGAGAAAGTAGAGGTAATGTGAAGAGGATGGGTCCCCCTCTGTGATCATTAATTGGGATGAGTAAACTAGACTTGAGTAAGACCCCTGAGCAGATTGGTCAACTCTAAGTGTCTGTGCATGATTGACATATAGGCCAGCAAACTGAAAGGGAAGACTCGCCCTGGATGTGGGTGGTGCCAACCAATAGGCTTGTAGCTTTGGTGGACTAGAAAGGGAAAGAGTGAATCGTCTCTTTTTTTTCTCTGGAAGAGCTCCGGTCTTCACTGTTGTCTTCAGAGGTTGGTTCACAGTTCTTCAGGCTTCCAGAGCAGACTCTTCAGCTTCCCAATGCAGACTCTTTGGTTTTCTGGCTGAGACTCAGACTGGTGACGCTGCAGAGAGCTTCCAGACCTTTGACCTTTCACTGCTACTGTATTCTCCATCTTTGCAGCACACAGACTGCCATTTTGGATTCTTTCACTTCTGATTCCACAGACAGCCATTGGGCCTCCTCCCCTTCTGATCCTTAAGCCTACCTAGTAAACCCCTTGTGTAATTATATTTATATTTTATATTGATTCTGTTTGCTAGTGAAACCTGATACACTGCCTCCACCCCTTCCACCATCATTGACCCCAGCTGGCCCTGATCTTTAGATCCGTTGGAGCCTCCCCTCCACATGAGCAGGGGCATCCATTGCTCCTCATCAAGAATAGCAGCAATAAAAAGGACAAACAGGGCTGAGGATTTAGCTCAGTGGTGCCAGCTTCTGCCTAGCAAGTGCAAGGTCCTGAGTTCGATTCCCGGTACCAAACAAAAAAAAGAACAAACAGTTCCCCAGCCTAGGGGAAGATCCCACTGGTCTGCTTGCTCCTCTGGATGCTTCATGTCTGAGGGTCTACAGAGTTCGTACTGTGTCCAGCAGACTCTGCTTCCCAGAATTCCCTTCCCCAGACACACCTGGACTTTGACTGCTCCTTGAGCCTCTTCAGCCTGGCCAGGTCCAGGCATAACTATGTGTGAAGTTGCCCTACAGGTCACCTGCTCTGCCCAGGTTGGAGGCTGTGAGGGTCAGCAGCTCCCTGTGGTGGTCGTTGCTGGTTCCAGCATAGCCTTGCCCTTCCTACTTCATACCCAACCTTCAGGGCCCTGCTGAGGCCAAGGCCAATGCCACACAGTCCCGCATGGACAGCCTTCAGCATCATCACTTCCACCAAACCTAATTCTTATTTTTCAAGTCCTTCTTCTACATCACTTTCTGTGGTCCTTTCTCCTAAGGAAACATAACGGATATTGGTACACCACCATGGCTAAGAAGGTGGTTTCCGGGACCACACGTCATGGGTTCAGAGCCTGACAGTGCTGCTACTTGACAGCGGTTGACCTTTGATCTCACCACTCTCTGTCTCAGTTTCTCCACCTGTAGAATGCGAGGAAGAAGAAGGTTCACCTCCTGTGTAAACCAACTGGAAGAGCGTTTCCCATATCCGCGGGCATTTTTATTACAGTCATCTCCGTTTGTCCTTAAACACACGGTGATAGAGCACAGTGTCCTAGTCACCGGTCAGTGGAAGGAGATTCAGAAAGGTTATGTGACCTACCCAGGGCCACATGGTTGGGAAGTGACAGCTGAATTTGATCCTACAGCAATTTGATTCCAAACTCTATAAGACAAGGGAAGGCTTCCCCCTCTGTTTCTTATTTTAATCCTTCTGGCAAAGTGTCTCTTGGAAAACTTCCAAGACCCTCCATTCACAAGGACCCTTAATCATTTTAATCAAGGACAGAAATATTCATCAATGTAGACCTCTTTAGACAGATTCAAAGGACTTCCAGAAGAGATCATTTCCCCCTTAACACTGAATCTTTTTCTGAATATGGTACAACTTCACTCTTGACTAATTTGCAATTTCAATTAATTAACAAGTATTTATTTAGCACTTGTCTCTATTCAGCATTGTGCTAAATGCTGTGAGAGAAACAGACATCTGTGGGACAGTGAGAAATCCACTGGACTTGAATTCGAAAGCCCTATGTTTGTCTATTCACTCTGTAGTTTCCTCTTCACTAAAAAACAATGAAGAGAGACTGATTGCTATTAGTTGCTGAGTGGATTGGATGGTATCCCCAAAGAGACAGGTCCATGCCCTTGTAACCTGATTCTGTGGATGCAAAGAATTTGAAAAGAGGATCCTGGCAGAGGTAATTGAATGAAGACTGTGTGATCATCGGTTGTCATGTGTCGATTTGACTTGGGTAAGAACCCCTTGGCAGATCGGTGAATTTGGGTGTGTCTGTGGATGATTGACATGTATGCCAGCAAACAAAAAAGGAAGACCTGCCTCAGATGTGGGTGGCACCAAACAACAGGCTTGTAGCCTGGACAGAATGAAAAGGGAAAGAAGAAGAAATCATTTCCCTTTATTTTTTTAAAAGTTCCAAACTTTTACCATTGTCTTTGGACACTGGGCTCCAGTTTCTTCAGCCTTTCAATGCAGACTTACACCTGTGACTCCACAGTGAGCCTTCAACCTTCAACTGCTCCTGGATCCTCCAGCTCTCTGGCACATAGACCGCCATTTTGGATTCTCACAGGCGGCTATTTTGACTCTTCCACCCCTGACTCTGTGAACCTACCTAATACACGTATTACCTAATACACTTATTTCATACTGATCCTGTTCCTCTTGAAAACCTTAACTAATATGGGCTGTAAGATGCGGACATCACCCTGGCTTATCCAGTGAACCCTAAATCCAATGACAAGGGTACTTATAAGAGAGAAGAGAAGATACACAGGAGGAGAAGGCCTTGATGGATGAGGAACTGGAGAACCACCAAGGTCTGGAGAAACCAGGAGGTTCTTCCCTGGACCCTGCAGAGGGAGCACAACCCTAGTAGCAATTTGATTTCACATTTCTGGACTCTAGGACTTTGGAAGAATCAATTTTTGTTGAACAAAGTCATCCACTTTGAGACAACTTGATAGGTCAGCCCTAGGAGGCTAATACGATTATCTACTGCTGTGTAACAAATTATTCCAAATTTAGCAGCTTGAAACAAAACCTGTGCACGATCTTCCTGCTTTGAAGGTGGGAAGCCCAGGTTCTCCAGAGGCCAAAAGCAAGGCCGGGCCCGGCCACACGCTCACCGACAGTGCAGCGTCCGTCTGGAGCTCACGGTGCCAAAGGGCTGAGGCCCCCGTTCCCTGGTCAGTGACCACCTGGGGCCATACTCTGTGCCAGATGACCATGTGCCTTCCCAGCTTCGTGGGTCCCTCTGTCTCCACAGCCAGCCATGGCACACGTTTCTCCAGCTGAATCCCTCTCAGCCTGCAAATCTCTGGCTTACCCGGCCTCTGACCTCCAGCCCCAAGCGTAAAGAGCTCATGTGACAGGTAGTCCCGCCAGAGAATCTCCCTTGCCTCTGTGCCTTATCCTGTAACCTAGGAATGGCATTAAGCTCCACCCTATTCATGTCTACATACATCAGAGGCATAGGGGGGTGGGGGTCTGATTTAGAACTTCACACACCGTGCATAACTATCAACATCAAATACAGGAATGGCTGTGAAACTATCTTATGGAAAACAATGCTGAACAAATGTGAAAGATTATTACTTTCTTAAAATACACAGTAGTTAGATAGTTTTGCAGTACTGGAGACTGAACCGAAGTCCTTTCCCCTGAGCTACATCCCCAGCCCTTCTTTATTTTATTTTGAGACAGTCTCTCTAAATCCCTAAATTGCTCAGGCTGAGCTGGAACTTGTGATCCTCCTGCCTCAGCCTCCCAGAGTGTTGAGATTACAGGCATGCACCACCACACCTGGCTTAGGATCTTCTTCACCTCTTCCTTCTCACCTTCTCTGAAAATTGTTTTTGGAGGAAGCACAAAGAACAGTCCTTCCGGCTGGATTGGGAGCATGCCCGTGTCTGTGATAAGTCTATGGAATGGTGCCCGTGGGAGCCCTTCCCTTCTCCCTCCTCACTCCATTACTGAATAGTCACGGACTGCAGCTTCCGCCAAGCCAGGAGTGGGGGACGTGTGTAAACCCAGGCGCATCTGTCAGGCAGGAACACAGCAAGCACAGCAGGCTCGTTAGAGTCCCTAGTGCAGCATGCACAGGGTGAGAGTTTGGGAGAGGAGAAGGACAGCCTGAGGCTGAGGGGGAAACACTGATGTGGGCACAAGCACGGGGGCGGGCAGGGCTTTGAGAAGCCACCATGGGGGAGCCAAGACTCTGGGTGATGGTGGTGGTTTTTCTCCTCTTTGAACACTGATCTGAGACCCAGGCCAGAGGGACTATTAGGACCCCATTCATTCTTCCCTTCAGATACATTGAATCCTGTCTCAGTTACTTCCTCGTTGCTAGATAAAATACCTGACACCCACAACTTAAAGGAGTAGAGGTTATTTTGGCTCATGGATTTTAGAGGTTTTTATTTTTCAGTCCATGGTTGGCTGGCTCAAAGGCAGGAAGGGCATGGTGGAAGGGTCTGGAGGAGGAGAGCTGCTCACCTCATGGTGCTCAGACAGCAGAGAGAAAAGTGAGGACATCTGGATATAAACCATAACAAATCCTTTCCCCCTCATCTT